ATAAAAAGTTCTTCACAAAAAAACATCCAGGCAGGAATTCATAATAACTCTAGAAATATCCAATCTGCTCGCTGATGGCTGTTGTTGTGATGTTGGTCATTTAGAGGCATCAATATTGAAACTGTTTCATAACTAGTTAAAAACTCCTTGTAGTACTTTTAAAGGTCAGTGTGTAACATTAGGAGGACTCTATTGTCAGAAAATGGAATATAAGTATTCATAGTATGTTTTCATTTGGTGTATAATCACCTGTAAATAAGAATAATTGTGTCTTTGTTACCTTAGAATGAGTTGTTTATATCTACAGACACTGTGGGTCCGCCCTGTTGAATCGCCATCTATTTACAGTAGCCCACTAAAAAAGAGAGGAGTATTTGCATTTTTGGCATGTCTGGCGGCCACCGTAGTTTCTCCTTTGTCCTTAGAAGGGGTAGGTGAAGTGAGGAAGTTGCAATCTACAACGTCACCAGTAGATGCCACTAAGTCTTAGACACTGGTTCTTTAAACATACTTAATAGGCGTATTTTGCCAGTGCATTTTTGCCCACTTTCACACCAAATTTGGGATCAATCAGAGCTTGCATTATGAAAATTACATTCGTTCAGGTGTATCATCTCCCATTCAGCCTGGGTTTATTTTGTATTTATTTTATTTATGGGATGTGCCACAATATCTGTCAATTAACCACTGTAACAGTAAAATATTTTTATACAAAAATCAATTTCATATATGGGAGACCTTGGAGAATACAAAAAATTTTGTTGTGCTTTGTTCTACTTCTGGTATGGTGTATTTCAAGGACTATACTTTTGAGGTTCTTCCTTATAGCCTGTATCAGGAGCCACTTGGACATGCAGCAGGGATCGAACCACAAAAGGATTAGTGGACGACAGGCTCTACCTCTTGAGCCACAGCCGCCCTGTATATAATTCATATGTAGTATTGAATTAATTAATTACTTATCATTTGTATTTTGATTGAGCTCTCTCTGTGATTATAATTTGATGTTGTTATTCAACCCATCCAAAGTTATTTTCATTTACCATCTGTAACAGGAAAACGTTTGATTTCTGTCCAAGTGTTTTTATTTTCTGTCTTCCTTTTTTCTTCTGAGAACTTCAGTCTCCAGCATTTCAAAGCCAGTGGAAGAAGCAGTGAGGTAGTTTCATCTGCATCGGCATTGATGAAATATGCAGGTGTTCACTAGGCTGGTTAAAAGTTGTCTGGAAAAACATTTTCAATAAAGAGCGTGGTGTAATTTCACAAAACAGCTGATAGCGGAATTGATTTGATTCCATTACACCTTGTTATTATTTTCCACTGCCTATATATTTTTTCTTTCATGAAATCCAGCTAGGTCTTTTCCTGTAGGAGACTTACAGCTCTCTCTGTGCTGTGTGGAGCAGGAGGATAATCGTTCTATTAACTATAACCCAAAACAAACAGCACGACCCGCTGCAGCAGCTCTGTGAATTTCACAGCACACACATATCAGTGGGAGCAGTGTAACACTCACCCCAACACGCCCCTGTCATAAAAAGGTTTAGCGTTCTGCTCTTAAACTTCCTGTCAGTGTGACCGAACAGCCGATCTCAGGAACAGAAAAGCGTGTGTTGCATTTACACAGAACAGCAATTTGACAGAAAGCCTACAGTTCAGCTGCGGCTGGTCGGCTTTGTGGCGGTGGCCGTGGCAACAGATGGAGCACAGCGGGGTGTGAAAGATGCTTTGTTTGTTCCTATCCGGAAAAAAAAATATTCACCATGTCTCTCCCTCTGAAAATTGGCTGTTTGATTTTATTTGTAGCAGCCAGGAAAATTTCTTTTATTAGCCAGGGAACTGAGAGGAAGAAGTAGTTTTTTCCTGTTGGTTTGTTGGTTGGAGAAAGTTAGCAGAAAAGAAGCACACAAGCTTCTAAGAATGATTTGTGTTTCCAGGAGGATTTTAACATGTTTTTTCCATCCAGTGCCAGTCTGTCTTTAAGCTTAACGTCTACAGCTTTATCTCAGAAAACACAAGGCTGTGATTCAGAGCCTCATGATGGGACTTTATCACCTTTACCAGACTGCTAGATACTAATCTCTCAGTCTCTAAAGCTACCATATCTCTCTCTCTGCTTTCCAGGAGTGATTTTGCTTCTCCTGGATCGTCTACGGAAGCTAAGATGGGAGCAGATGTGGAGGCTGACTGCAGAGAGGGAACTAATGAGCATGCTGTCCACCTCCTTGGCAGACCAGGTAACACACACACGCACACACATCCTCACAGCCCAGCCATGCAAACTTGCCACCCATTGGCAAAAAAATGCCATTTCACATAGGCAAACCATAAAAACACCTGTACTGGTTGCTCCATTTTCTTCACCTAAGTGCAATTTCTGCAGATGACAGGCCTTGTTTTGCCATATCTAAAATCGAGTCGGAGTAGGTTTCCAAAGACATTTCAACCCTTCTTGAAGCAACTCTGGCACTTTGGAAATTTGCTGTTCTTGTCTTGTCTAGTGTCTAGACCACATCCAGACACAGAATATATAAAAGCACTTTTTCATTTTGTTAAAGCCCTGTCACAACAAACCAGTGCCAAAAAGCGAGCAAACAGTGACACTAAACACACCGCACCAACTGCAGCAAACCGTTAACTAGCATGTTGCAAACATGCGCCTGCACGAGAGGCAATAACTCTCCATACTATGCAGGTGGTGGTAGTCTGCATTCTTCTTTTAAATAGGAACTCTGGAAGACCTAGGACTACGGATATAAACAAAAGCAGCCCTATGGATGTAGGTTTGCCCGCTCTCACTTTATTTATAGAAGTAGATCACAGCTGCTTGTTGTATCAAAATATCTGTGTATTTGAGTGATCACATGAGATGGAGTTGAAAAATAAGACCATCCGAACTCATGTGCTGCTTCCATTTCTCTTTCACCTCCGCAGCCAATTCAGCATGCTCGGTTGGCCGGAAAAGCCACAGACAAGCGGTCACCAAGCCCCAAACGGCACAGAAGACACCTCAAAACTATTGTAGGGCTAGAGACCCTCACCGACGGCCCCTGTGGGCTAGGACCTTTATACAAAATACATAATATAAATCACCCATTCAACCACATCGAAAATTTTGCTCATCCATTTTTGACCACAAAGAACCCACAGTACCAACTGTAGCAAACAGCTAACTAGCATGTAGCGTACATGCACCTGCACCAGAGGTAATAACTCTCTATTTTCCATTAAAATATAAAAAAAATTTAAAGCAAAACTCTACTATGTTAGTAATACACATTTCTGAAAAGAAAATCAAACAACCAAAAGATACAATCACCCATTATAAACTGTTGCAAGCCCTGTTATTTTCGGCCACTGCTAACTGGAATTCTCCTGTTAAACTAAGCTACAGTATGCTTCAAACAAACTACTTTGTACAGTGTTTCATCCAAACACTTCTAAAGTGTTTCTGCCTGTTCTGGCCACATTGGAAGCTGGGTGAAAAACCTGCCGTCATGGCCTCCCTGATCTCTCTCCAAGAACTCTTTGCTTTGTGTGTTTCATTGTAGTGTCGGCCCCATGAATCATACAAAGGCATTCATGGTGTTTGACTTGCTTCTGCACACGAAAACTGACAGAGGTAGTTGTGTGAAGAATGGAAAAAGAGACTTCAAACCCTGCATAGTTTCTCAGCTCCACACACCTGAGTAAAAGTGGTTGTGCTCATCATATTGTCCGTTATGGAAGGTCAGAAATGTCAGAGGTAGCCCCCCAACCAGAAAGGAATGGGGGCAGTAGGTTATGGACAGTCTGCCAGGCACTGTGTTTGAAACATACAGTACTGACTGCTTAATGTTACCTTGTCCAAGTAAGCTCGCTGTAGCTTTATTTTGCCCACCAAAAATGCTATTTGAACAGCAGTGAAGCCCACTTCTCCTCTGTTGTGTTTCAGTGGGATGCAAGTGACTTGCTTGAGAAAGTAAGCATGGTTTAGACATCTCCCTTGAGCCCTCTTTGTCAATCTCTTTTTGACAACTTTTTCTCTCACTTTTTCTGTGCATGAACGAGTGAAACACAATGCTTGTCTCAATGTCTTTGCCATTAACCCCGAATTTAAACAATTATTTAGTTTTGCGTCTCTATATGACAATCTGCTGTTCGCCTCACCTCAGTGTGGTTATTCAGAACAGCAATAAACACTTTTTTTTTCATTTTCAATGACACATCCGATGAACCACTTATTTTCTAACACAGTGTGGCCCTTACAAAAGTGACGGTTAGTTGTAGGTGTGTGAAATGATGCACCACACACCCGTCCACCACTGTGACCTACACACACTTACTTTCACGCTTCACTCCACAAAGGACAAACTACTTCCTGCTTTGACACTGAACGTTGGCAGTGGACATATATGGTGATCTACAGCACCATCCAATGTGAGCGTGATTCCCACCGGTATTTGATATAGGTGTCAATTGATGTGACTTTGCAAGGTGCCCACAACAGCCTTCATTGAAAAAACAAAAAAAACTACATATATCTGTGTCTCTATTTTTATCTCAGAGTGCAACAGAACACTCCTTTTACAAAGCTGTAGAAAGGTTTGGTTCCAGGTATCAACCCTGTCTCCTAGAAATTGTGTTTGTATATAACTACATTCTTTTCATAATTAAAGCTGCAAGTAGTGCTGTGGTCATTAAAATTTCACATAAATCAGATGATGATTGCCCGATAAGACTTACTTCCTGTTGCCAGTAGGTGGTGCTGTGACTGAATATTGGTATGTAGACGTGTTCGGACATCAGACGTGAAGTTTGAAAGATTAGACAAAGTACACTGAAGTAACAACAAATTCCTGTTAATGACATCCAAACTCACCACGCCCCCTGGGATGAACTTTTTGTCATCATGGTCTTTAGATTGCATAAAATAAAAAACAAAAAAACAACATTTCCTTATTATGTTAATAGAAAATGTAATTCGATCAGCATTACATTTCAACAAACTATACTACTACTGTATATAAACGTCATTTCAAGGAGACAGGGCTGCAGGTATTGCACCATTTTCATCCCCCTTGAGCATACAGGTATCCTCTTGAAGGTCATAAATAGGTGTTATCTTAAACCGTGCAGTGTTCTATTATCTACCATAGTAAGGGCAGACACTCAGACCTTGGTGCAGGGTCTCTCCGTTATCTCGGAGCTATTCAGAGCTCATCTAAATGAGAGGTGCATTTATGAGATTTTAATTAAACCTTCATTAAGTAAAGTCCCGCAAGGTATGCAGTTTGTAAAATGAAAGGGGCTTTGGAAATCGTTTGAGCATTCCATCTGCCTTCTGCTGTATAAGCTCCAATCGACTGTCAGCCCCCTTTATTGCAGCATTCATTATGTGGCTATAGAGTTTTTATGTGTCCCATTAGGAAACTAGAGTCTGTCACCGAGACTCTCATCTTGTGAACCCACAAAGATCTCAAAGTCAAAAAAGTCTCTCTGACCAAGGTACATTTCCTCAAAGCAATTCCAAGAGTTCAGCTTTACAAGTGTGATTACACATACTATTAGTTATTAACCTGAACATCTGGAGGAACACAAAACTCTAACAAGACAGAAGAGTCAGGACTGCTATACTGGCCCCACAGCAGTAACATCTGGAGATAATGTGTTACAGTAATTCTTCCTGCCTCTGCTGCTAGTGGTGGTGATGAAATTATTCCTGTACCCATAGGACCATACATGAGATCAACCTTCACAGAGTCTTTAATTGGACCGATGCATTCCTTTATTGGAAATCAGTTAGTGATTGGACGTTGCAACTGATCAGACTGATCTGATCACATATATTATAAAAAATATTTTTTTAGGGCACAGTCACACATACGCAATATCAACATATCAACATATCGACGAATATTCATCTCCCATTCATGTCCATTCTATGTGAGGGAAAGTGCGAAACCTTTTAGTGGCAAAGCAGATTTCCATCTCAACTTTGTGTGGACTGAACACTGGTGAATTGTGACCGGTGAAGTCGCAGTCTCAACCAATTGCAAATATGTATGTGTCGTTGATTAAAAATTTAAAGAGGTATTGCTGGCAGGAACAAATGGTTCATGTGCATTCACTGTCTTTCCAACAATCACCAACTTTGGTCAAATAAACCCTTAAGTAACCGAGTTAGATGTTAAAGTATTTATGAAAAAGGCTGCTATGGCCGCAACTTAAGCTAGGGTTAATCCTTGGAGACAGATGAGCCTGTCAAAGTACATCCGCTAAAAGTGCTTGTTTTTGCCACTGACATTGTTATTCTGACCTCATCATGGAAAGGATCCCTACAGAGAGAGACATTTTGTTTAACCAGAAACAGCCATAATATTGCTCTCCACCAGACTCCATAGACAAAAACGGTAATTTTACTTTGCATATCATCATAACATCGTAACATCATTCAAAGTGGACAGAAACAAAATAAATCTTACCTAAACTGTCTCTCCAACAATCACCAACTCTGCTTTTGTGGAAATAAATCCTTCAAAGACATAGATGATTGTTTTAAAGAATCATTTAAAAAATTATAATAAATTATCAATATTTTTTATTTGAGAAAGTGTGTTAGTTAAAAATGTGTGGTCATCTATTAAACAGCTAGAAGGGTCAGAGTAGACTGTGTGTTGCAGGCCTTTAGATGACATAAGGCAAAGCATAAGGCTCAGTATGTGTCTGTGTGTGTGTGTGTGTGTGTGTTACTGCAGGACATCTTCAACGCTGTGATCAAACAGAACCCGTTCCTGGTTCACCAGCTGCCCTGCTTCTGGAACGTCCAGCTGTCTGACCACACCCGCTCTGAGAAGTGCTACAAAGACGTGTCAGACCTCAAGGTGAGACCCCGCCATCCCCACTGCACTCACACTCAGTCACTTCAGACATACAAGACGTGACCTGCATTAATCAAGAGTCTCAAGCCAGCCCCGAACTCAAAGCGACAGACATTTGGTTCTACTTCAGGCACAGTAAAAGCACTGTGGATTGTGTTAACCTTCAAAAAGCATTCTGTCTTCAGTGGATGTGCAGAGCTGTTAGAGCCTGTTAGTAGATCCCAGTAGGTGGACAATGATAGAGCATCAGTGGTGGAGGTATTCAGATCATTTACTTAAGTGGAGGTACTAATATCACACTGTTAAAATACTCTCTTTCTTAGAGACAATGCACAATACATGTATTCTACCAGATATAGCTAAAAGCTCATTTTCATCGGTAGTCCCTGGGGAAGATAAAAGAGCAGGAGTAAATCTGTCATTGAAAATGTTAGCGGGTCATCCACTAATCGGAAGGTTGTTGGTTTGACCCCTGGCTCCTCCCGCCACATGTCGAAGTATCCTTGAGCAAGATACTGAACCCCAAATTGTTCAATGCTGGCATGTTGTGCAAAAGCAATTTGAGTGGTCAGAAGACTAGGAAGGCGCTGTACAAGTACAAGTCCATTTAACATTTACCATTATTATAACTCTTGCATTAATGTGAAAGATTTGATTGTACTGTTGTAGTTGGTTGACTATTTTGTATAGAACCAGAACTAATGATTATGTTCATTATGTATTTATCTGCTGATTTATGTTTTCCATAATCGATTGATGTTTTGCTTTGTAAAAATTCTGAAAATAGTGAGAAATGCCGTCACAATTACCCAGAGCCCAAAGTGACACGTTCACAATGCTTGTTTTTTCCAATCAACAGTCCAAACCTCAAAATTATTACAAATACATTCAAATTAATCCAAAGGTAATGCAGCAAATCATCACATTTGAGAAGTTTGATCCATGAAATGTTTTTGCTTAATGGCTAAATAATTATTAAAATGGTTGCAGATTAATTTTCTGTCAATGGATTATTCAACTAATTTTTTCAGTTGTACGTTGGTGTTAGTATGTTTCATGTGCCAAAATCTTAATTAGTAAAGTAACTCAGGCTGTCAAATAAATGTAGTAGTAGTAAGTAAAAAAGTACAATATTTCCCACTGAGATTTAGAGGAGTAGAAGTAAAAAGTGGCATTAGAAGAAAATACTAGGGCTGTCCCTGACTAAAGATTTTCCTAGTCGACTAGCAGTCGCTAGATAAAGCCAAAAGTCGACTATTCGTAGCCAGTAATGATATAAACCTTTAATTATTTACATATATATATTTTAACAGCTGTCTGTTAAATGCTAACAGAAAAAGCATATATCTGACATATGAAAAGTGAGTCGACTAAGACTCTCCTTGTCAACAGTTTACTCGACTATAAGGGAGTAGCCATAGAAAATACTGAAGTAAAGCACAAGTACCTGGAATTTGTAATCCAAGTTCCAGTGTGTAGGATTCAGTGGCATCTAGTGGTGTCCTTTATTTCACCTTCCTCTTCCCAGTGCAAAGGAGAAACTACGGTGGCTGTGAAACACACGAAAAATTAAACTAAAAACACCCCTATTTAGAGCCAGTGTTTGGTTTGTCCCTTCTGGGCTACTGTAGAAACATGGCAGTTCAACATGGTGGACTCCATTGAAGGCAAC